AAGAAGAGCGGGGGTGGGGGGAGGGACGGAGTGCGGTAGGGGAAGAGGCGGTATTAGGGTACCGACTCGTCGAACGTGACGTCCTGGGAGGACAGAACACGGCGAGAGGTGGGGTGGTAGAACTGCCACCCAGGGGCGTCGGGGGGGAACCCCAGGAAGACGCAAGGAGCAGCGCGAGGGGACAGCTTGTCCGCAGACAAGTCGCGGACAAACGCCCGAGATCCCCAGACCCGGAACGCCGACGCATCGCCAACCTTCCCCGTCCACAGCAGGGCTGGGGAGGTCTCCGGCCTGGAGACCCTAGGGTGGAGGTTGATCTGATGCGCCGCGTACCTGACCGCAAACGGCCACAGAAAATGGGGGGCAGCCGCATGCATTATGGACGTACGAGCGACGTCCATGACCATGCCAATGCGGCGCTCTTCAATCCCATTTTCCTGCGGTGAGTCCGGAAGCGTGAAGGTCTGACGGATGCCTCGCGCATGACAGTAGGCACGCAGAAGGCCAGAGGAGAACTCTCCGCCTCTGTCCGAGTGCAGACGCAACACAGGAAAGTCCGAGCCAAAGCTCTGCCTGAGCTGGAGACGAGCTGCGCGGATCCAGTCGATCAGCACCTCAGTGACATCACCGTTGCTGCGCAAGGGGAAGACTGTGGTGTAACGCGAGTAGTCGTCAACCACCAACAGGAAGTAGCGCTCGTGACCGAGTCCACGGACGCGGGCAGGGCCCCACACGTCCATGTGAAGCGTCTGCAACGGAGCCTCTGTCGGAGGAAACTGGGAGGAGTGAGGGGCAGCACGCTGGCGCCCCTCGACACAGGGGACACAGGCAGGGCCAAGGCCCTGAGGAAGGGGAGGGAGGGACCGGGGGAGACCAGACACAAGAAGACGGGAGGCCATGCCTCTGAGCCGAAGCAGAGAGGGGTGGCCAAGGCGGTGGTGCCAGAGGAGAGTCTCGTGAGACAGACGGCGACACGAACAGGGGGCAGACTCAGGACCAGACCTGGACGCTGCAGCAAACACCTGACCTGACGAAGGGACCCTACCAGACTCAGGAACTAGAGGAGAAGCAGTGGTCAGGGTGTACAGGCTCGACCCAGGCTGACGTGTAAACGTAGCCAGGTGACGACCTGTGCTAGCCTCTGTGCAGTGCGTCACCCGCTGACAAGCAGAGGTGAACTGGTGAACTCCCGCATCCTGTAGGTCAGCACCACTCACCAAGTTCGTAGAGAACGAGGGGAGGTAGAGACCAGACAGGGTGCCAGAGGGAGCCGCCGGACATGGGAGGACTTTGGAGAAGCGAGACAGGACAGGACCCCCAGAGGGGTCAGCCAGGGACACCGCAACCGGCCGACTAAGCGGCGTGAGTGTGGTGCGGTCCCGAAAGAAAGAGCGAGACGCTCCAGAGTCAAGGGTGAAGGTGTGGGAGGCCGAAGCCGACGCAGTACCTGAGAGCGCAGACTCACTAGTACCTGAGAGAGCAGCCTCACCAGTACCTGAGAGCACAGACGCACTGGCACCTAGAGCAGAAGCCTCGCTGGCACCTAGAGCAGCAGTACCAATGCCCGGGTCGGGCGGGAAACACCGGTAACAGTCACCCTCATCACTAATGGTCACAGCATACATGGCAGCAAGGATAGCATCAAAGTCAAGATCAAAGATAGCTACACCAGCCCTAGACAACTCTCCCCAGCGGGGGATCTCCGCGGCCTCCGGGACTTGCTGGCGCCAAGCGTCCGTCAGGCGGCCAAAGCAGCGCTGGGCGGTGTGGGTACCCCCACACTGCTCTCCAGCGCGGTCGCCAGTGCGAAGAACGTAGGTGGAGGGACCAAAACCCCCACCACGCTGACGCTGCGTGTACCACTCACGGAGCTGCTGAGGGGTGGGGACGTCGCGAGAACGCTGCTGCTGCTGCTGCTGCTGCTGGCGCTGACCACCCCCAGTGCTGCTCCGCTGCGAAGCGCCACTCCGACCACCTCCACCACCGCCACCCCCGCCTCCGCCTCCATCGCCGCCGCCTCCGCCACCTCCGCTCCCACCACCACCGCCGCCGCCACCCCCGCCTCCACCGCCGCCACTAGCACCCCCACCCCCGCCACCACCTCCACCGCCACCCCCACTCCCTCCGCCGCCTCCACCTCCACCTCCACCGCCCCCGCTGGCTCCACCCGCTCCCTTGCCCCCCTTGCCCTTGCCAGAGCGGCGTCTCCCGCTAGGGGCAGACGCCGCACCGACCGACTCAAGACCAACGAGGTCGACCGCAGCGGCAGAGGCGACAGAGGGCAAGAGAGGGGAAGGAGAACACCCCTCAAAGATGGGGGCGCGGGGGTCACCTCGAGAGGCTCCTACAGCGACTATGCTCTTCTCCGCCGCTAGGAGGGCCTTCTCGAGGCTGTCGACTATGAGGGTGGTGGGACAGACCGCGAGGAAGTGGTCGCGGACTACACGAAGGGAGTCAGGGAGGCGAGTGACTAAAAAGTAGAGAGTGATGTACATGGGGGGGGGGTTCTTGGCGCAGAAGTCAGCAGGAAGCGCAGCGCGGTAGCGAGTGTCACTAGTGCGGAGGTGCGTAATGAGATCAGCGACTGTGGGAAAGGCGGCAAGGTCAGGGAAGAGGAAGGGGAGCATGAGGCGGCTCAGTGCAGTAGTGGCAGGGGAGGAGTAGCGCGCAACTACAGCGTCGTACAAGGTCTGGGCACTCTTGTACTGACTAAAGTGCGCGCGCTCAGCGGTAGGCAGGTGGCGACGCACAGCAAGACGTGCAGCAGCATCGCGCGTGGCCCACTGTGAGCGAACAGTGGGGTCAGCATCAGCAGCATGGGCAGGGACGGCGCGAGAGGTGAGGTCAAAGAGAGAAAGACCGTCTGCCCTATCGCACTGTAAGAACAGCTGCAGGTCGTCTACCCAGACCTCAAAGTCAATGGCGCGACCCTCAGCGTCAAAAGCTAGGACACTAGGGGTAGCCATGACGACAGACTAGCAGTGCAAGCAGTGTGGGAAGGGCACGCAGTAGCAGTGGGGCTGTGCTCACCAGACAGGGCAGGTCGGGCGGCTCGGCAGCAGGGCGGCTCGGCTGCGGGGCGGCTCGGCTGTACTGTGGCTTGGCGGCCCGGCGGCTCGGCGGCTGCTACTGGGCGGCTTAGCGGCTGCTGGTGGGCGGCTCGGCTGGACTGCGGTTCGGCAGCCCGGCGGCTCGGCGGCTGCTGCTGGGCGGCTCGGCTGGACTGCGGCTCGGCGGCTGATGCTGAGCGGGTCGGCTGCTCCGGTACCGGGCGGCATAGCAGAGAAGGTGAGGGCGGCGGGGCCGCGTAGGTGAAGGCGGTAGGGCCGCGTAGGTGAAGGCGGCGGGGCCGCGAAGGTAAAGGGCGGTGGGGCCGCGAAGGTGAGGGCGGCGGGGCCGCGTAGGTGAAGGCGGCGGGGCCGCGAAGGTAAGGGCGGCGGGGCCGAGAAGGTAAGGGCGGCGAGGCCGCGAAGGTGAGGCGGCGGGGCCGCGTATGTGAGGTGGCGGGGCCGCGACGTGAGAGCGGCGGGGCCGCGTAGGTGAGGCGGCGGGGCCGCGTAGGTGAGGCGGCGGGGCCGCGACGTGAGGGCGGCGGGGCCGCGTAGGTGAGGCGGCGGGGCCGCGACGTGAAGGCGGCGGGGCCGCGACGTGAGGGCGGCGGGGTCGCGTAGGTAAGGGCAGCTCAACGGGCCGCTAGGGGCGACACGAAGGGTCGCTAAAAAAAAACGCGCGCCTCGGGGCGCGCTTCGGTGGGCCCTATGAACAGTCCCTAGGAGGGGACCTGCTCTGATATCATGAGAAGAATTGAACGAGAATGAAATGACTATGAACGAAGTGAGTACAAATAGGAAACCCTAATTGGGTTGTACCCCTATGGGATACCCCACTATAGCCTACACAAATAAGTAAGCTATAATGTTCTGACAGTCGGTACCGTAGCTGCTTCTTGTAATGAGGTGTAGTTGAGGAAGGAGGAAAGAACTGTGTGGACGTTGGATGGATTACCGGTAGTGCTGTAGAAACATGGGCTGCACTGCAACTATGCATCCTGTTACCGTAAGTACCTTAGCCATACACTTGAAATGAGGAAGTGATACAGAGGGCAGGGATGGAAGAAAGCGGGCTGGGAAACATAGATCTGGAGAAGTTGAGAGGCGTCGGGTCTGGATATGATTTAATGAGAAATGTTGCATTGGTGCCCTCTAAGCACCATCCATGCATCAGGATAGTCACATTCTCGACAGTCACACTCTCACAAACAAGCGTCGTTCACGCTACACGGATAAACCATGACCTGCCCCGAGTTACAGGAACAGCAGCAGGGGACAGAGAGGTGCGGAAGGCTCTTGCGGTGTCTCAGAAGTCGATTTACGGCACAGCAGCAGGGGGCAGAGGTGCGGAAGGAGGGACAGGTGCACCAGCCATGCCACGGCCAGCAGCAGCAGCACTCAGCATGGCAGACTGTTGTTGGAGCACAGGCGGCATGACTGCCTTGTCCCGGTTGCTGATGGCTGGTGCAGCAATGTTGGGGAAAGGGTGGGAATAAGATGAGCATACCAGAACATGGGATAGCAATGGGACGGGAACATCAGGACGATGAGGAGGAAATGAGGAATATGATGATTACAGTGGTGAGAATGAAGTGGAATGAAGGGGTGATGACTTGACGACGGAGGGTTACACCTGCAACGGAGCGTGGTCAGAAAGAATTTGCCAAACAAAGGCCCATGTGACACGTCCACTATACTCCCATCTGGAGAAAACTTTCGAGTCGACTCAAAAGCCCACTTGACACATCCTTTTAGGGCCACAGCAGTAGTGGTGCGGGCACCACTCAAAGGCAGCAGTGTTGTTACCCACGGGTAGTTTTAGGCAGGGGAGCATGCACCGTGATGGGCATGCACCGTGATGGGCATGGATGGACTGTCATTCTCCCTCGCTGCCTCTGGGTTGACTTTTGAGTCAACTCAAAAATTAATTGTCCCTCTCTGCCTGCCGCCATGGATAGACAGCGCATTGGTCGTCACAATCAAGAAAGGCAACACCAGCCAACGGCACTGTCATTCACGAGTGATGGGCAGGGGAGCATGCACGGTGATGGGCAGGGGAGCATGCACGGTGATGGGCAGGGGAGCATGCACGGTGATGGGCAGGGGAGCATGCACAGTGATGGGCAGGGGAGCATGCACGGTGATGGGCAGGGGAGCATGCACGGTGATGGGCAGGGGAGCATGCACGGTGATGGGCAGGGGAGCATGCACGGTGATGGGCAGGGGAGCATGCACGGTGATGGGCAGGGGAGCATGCACGGTGATGGGCAGGGGAGCATGCACGGTGATGGGCAGGGGAGCATGCACGGTGATGGGCAGGGGAGCATGCACGGTGATGGGCAGGGGAGCATGCACGGTGATGGGCAGGGGAGCATGCACGGTGATGGGCAGGGGAGCATGCACGGTGATGGGCAGGGGAGCATGCACGGTGATGGGCAGGGGAGCATGCACGGTGATGGGCAGGGGAGCATGCACGGTGATGGGCAGGGGAGCATGCACGGTGATGGGCAGGGGAGCATGCACGGTGATGGGCAGGGGAGCATGCACGGTGATGGGCAGGGGAGCATGCACGGTGATGGGCAGGGGAGCATGCACGGTGATGGGCAGGGGAGCATGCACGGTGATGGGCAGGGGAGCATGCACGGTGATGGGCAGGGGAGCATGCACGGTGATGGGCAGGGGAGCATGCACGGTGATGGGCAGGGGAGCATGCACGGTGATGGGCAGGGGAGCATGCACGGTGATGGGCAGGGGAGCATGCACGGTGATGGGCAGGGGAGCATGCACGGTGATGGGCAGGGGAGCATGCACGGTGATGGGCAGGGGAGCATGCACGGTGATGGGCAGGGGAGCATGCACGGTGATGGGCAGGGGAGCATGCACGGTGATGGGCAGGGGGCGCATGCACGGTGATGGGCAGGGGAGCATGCACGGTGATGGGCAGGGGAGCATGCACAGTGATGGGCAGGGGAGCATGCACGGTGATGGGCAGGGGAGCATGCACGGTGATGGGCAGGGGAGCATGCACGGTGATGGGCAGGGGCGCATGCACGGTGATGGGCAGGGGAGCATGCACGGTGATGGGCAGGGGAGCATGCACGGTGATGGGCAGGGGAGCATGCACGGTGATGGGCAGGGGAGCATGCACGGTGATGGGCAGGGGAGCATGCACGGTGATGGGTAGGGGCGCATGCACGGTGATGGGCAGGGGAGCATGCACGGTGATGGGCAGGGGAGCATGCACGGTGATGGGCAGGGGAGCATGCACGGTGATGGGCAGGGGAGCATGCACGGTGATGGGCAGGGGAGCATGCACGGTGATGGGCAGGGGCGCATGCACGGTGATGGGCAGGGGAGCATGCACGGTGATGGGCAGGGTAGCATGCACGGTGATGGGCAGGGGAGCATGCACGGTGATGGGCAGGGGAGCATGCACGGTGATGGGCAGGGGAGCATGCACGGTGATGGGCAGGGGCGCATGCACGGTGATGGGCAGGGGCGCATGCACGGTGATGGGCAGGGGAGCATGCACGGTGATGGGCAGGGGAGCATGCACAGTGATGGGCAGGGGAGCATGCACGGTGATGGGCAGGGGAGCATGCACGGTGATGGGCAGGGGAGCATGCACGGTGATGGGCAGGGGCGCATGCACGGTGATGGGCAGGGGAGCATGCACGGTGATGGGCAGGGGAGCATGCACGGTGATGGGCAGGGGAGCATGCACGGTGATGGGCAGGGGAGCATGCACGGTGATGGGCAGGGGAGCATGCACGGTGATGGGTAGGGGCGCATGCACGGTGATGGGCAGGGGAGCATGCACGGTGATGGGCAGGGGAGCATGCACGGTGATGGGCAGGGGAGCATGCACGGTGATGGGCAGGGGAGCATGCACGGTGATGGGCAGGGGAGCATGCACGGTGATGGGCAGGGGCGCATGCACGGTGATGGGCAGGGGAGCATGCACGGTGATGGGCAGGGTAGCATGCACGGTGATGGGCAGGGGAGCATGCACGGTGATGGGCAGGGGAGCATGCACGGTGATGGGCAGGGGAGCATGCACGGTGATGGGCAGGGGCGCATGCACGGTGATGGGCAGGGGAGCATGCACGGTGATGGGCAGGGGAGCATGCACGGTGATGGGCAGGGGAGCATGCACGGTGATGGGCAGGGGAGCATGCACGGTGATGGGCAGGGGAGCATGCACGGTGATGGGCAGGGGAGCATGCACGGTGATGGGCAGGGGAGCATGCACGGTGATGGGCAGGGGAGCATGCACGGTGATGGGCAGGGGAGCATGCACGGTGATGGGCATGCACGGTGATGGGCATGGACCACTCTCCCCTCTCCACCTCCGCCCCCATGGCCAGCGCATGCGGCCTCACAATGAGCAGGATCTCTCACAGGCAAGCTGGGGAATACCAATGGCACTGTCACTCACGTGTTACTTTGGGCAGCGGGGCGTGCACGGTGATGGGCATGGACCACTCGCCCCTCTCCGTCTCCGCCCCCATGGCTAGCGCATGCGGCCTCTCATGCATCTGCTGCCGTGGGGGTTGTTGCTGCTGCTGCCTGCCCTTGCCCGCGCTGCCAGGGGTGTTGCCGGGTGGTGCTGGTCGCCTGGTGGACGCACAGAACTCAAACCGAAGAATCCACTGGTGAGGGAATGGGCAGGGAGCAGGGGAGCAGTGGAGCGAGGGAAGAGTAGTGAGAAAGCAGAGCAGATGCAGAAGTGCATGCGTCTGCTGCTGCAGTGGTTGATGCCTTGCATGTGCTTGCAGGGGTTCTGCTGGGTGGTGCTGGGTGGTGCTGGGCGCCTGGGATGCACAAAACGCAAAGCACAGGATCCACTGGTGATGGGAGCAGGGGGGAGAGCAGGGGGGAGAGCAGGGGGGAGAGAAGGGGGAAGAGCAGAGGGGAGAGCAGCGCGGGGGGGAAGATCGGAGGGGAGTGACCGGGCACCTGGTGGAAACGCAAAACTCAAAGTGCAGGATCCACTGGTGAGGGGAATATGGGGAAAGGAAGGGAGGGGAGGATATGACAGAAGGAGAGGGGAGCACTGAAGGAAGGGAGAGGAGGAGGGGAGTGATGGAACTAGGAATGAAGTGTTTAGGGAATGGGCGATGGGCGATGAGTGAGATGATGGGCATGCATGGGCGGCCTACCTGCAGTGAGATGATGGGCGTGGCGAAGGAGGCGGCGGCGTCGGAGGGGATGGTGAAGATGAAGTGCGTGTGGAGCAGATCCGCTGTCACCTCGTGATGCTCCATCTGCAATACTGGTAAGTGCAGGGGGGTCTGGGGAAGGGGAGGAGAGGGGAATGGTGGGGGAGAGGGGAATGGTGGGGGAGAGGGGAATGGTGGGGGAGAGGCAGAGACGAGGCGGAGAGGCGGTGCGTGTGGAGCAGGTCGACTGTCACCTCGTGATGCTCCATCTGCAGCATCGGCAGGTGTAGAGGGGTCTGGGGACGGGGCGTAGGGAAAGGGAAACGCGGAGAAGTAGAGGTGATTGAAGAGTGAGAGAGATGAAGTACGGTATGTGTAGAGCAGGTCGACCATCACCTCGTGATGCTTCATCATCTGCAGCACTGGCAGGTGTAGAGGGGTCTGGGTTGGGAGAAGGAAGGGAGGGAGGAAGTCGGGGGTTCCTAAGGCGCCTCAAAGGCGTCTCATCACAAGTGGATGGTGAAGATGAAGTGTGTGTGGAGGAGATCGACGGTGATCCAAGGCCTCACGGCGGGTAGAGGAAGGGAAGGGGAGGATACGGAAGGGAGAGAAGGTGTGTGAGAGAGAAGTATGTCTGGGGGCGGGGAAAGGGGGGGGGGGGGGGGGAAATGGGAGGGGGAGGTGGGGAGAAGGGATGCACGTGACGTGGTGGAGAAGTAGAGGTGAGAGAGATATTGTGGGGAATGGAGGCAACAAGGGAGAGGGATTAAGAGGTTTGCATGGGAACAGTTAGATAAGGGGAGTGTAAAGTGCAAAGATGAGAGGAGCATGCTGTTGAAGGAGGAGGGAAGGAAGGTGCTAAGGACATTGTGAATGCATGATTGCTGGCCTGCATGTGTGCATGATTGTTGTCGCCATGCAGTGTGCCGGAGTGCATGCATGTGTGGGTGCACATACATGTGACGCATGCATGCACCGGCAGAGCACAGGTCACCTTAGCAGCACAAGTAGCAAATACGGTTCGGTTTGAGGCGGTACTGTACTCATGCGTAGATGCATGCAGGCGTGGGTGACAAGGCGCGTGTGATGTATGCATCCATGCACAGCGGAGTGCGGCTCACCTTGGCGGCAGAAGCAGCAGCAGCAACTCTCCTGGACGTGTGCAGGGCGCGGGGGTTGATCACCTCATGCATTTCCAGTAGAACTGACACCTGGCGGGGGGAGAGGAGGCAAGGGGGAGACGTGGGAGAGATGAGAAAACATGGTGCAAGGAAGCAGTATGACCTCATGCATCTCCAATAGCACTGACACCTGGTGGGGGCGAGGAGGTGAGAGGGAGAGGAGGCGAGCGGGAGGGATGGAACACAGGGAAGGGCAAACCTAAGAGGCAAGAGGCACATGTGCACAACACATTTTAGACTTAGTTGGAGAAACATGCTGTGGACCGAATGTTTGATAGCATACATACGAAAACAGAATTGTGATATGGATATAAACACGTGATACACAGCGATCGGGTAAGGGCGCATGTCTCTTGAAATCTACATGCAAAAGTCGAGTTTTGAGTTGAACTCTACACATTTGAACCTAGGTTGACCTAGGCTCGATTATATCGGCATCTGTGACCCGAGTCGCTGCTCCTCAACTCACAAGAATCACAAGACACACGAAAGTTCGACTATCGAAGTTGAACATCTTCAAAATTTCAGAGTCGCGACCAATCCATGTTAGTTACCCGGTTTGTTGGCGATGCCAGAACATGATGTGCGATTTCCGAAGTCGCACGATGTGTGCTTCGACTGTCGCCGACTTCGCAGCTTCCTCGTGCATTTTGAAGAGGACACACAAGTGACTTTTCGTGCATGCATGGTTTGTGCCAAAAGATCAACCCAGGTTTAGTGTCCTACGTGGTGGTCAATGTTGTACTAGGACACACGATACACGGGCGAAACAATTTGCGAGATTTGCGAATCAGGTTACCATCAAAAGTTCAACCATTATTTCAAACCTCTACAGCAAAAGACACGCGCCCTAATGCACCTTCCCCATCTCAGCCTCATACCACCTCACATGCTGCTGACCCAGCTTACAGCCAGATCCAACCAGAACACGAAGTCGTACTATATGCAATGCATGCCCATTCCAATATAAGGATTTGCTCACGCATACACATTGACATGACCACCCGCACTTACTGAAACAAACATCTGCAACACACATCTGCAAGTACTGAAACAAACATCTGCAACAAACATCTTAAGGATGTGCCCATACCGAAACAAACATCTGCAACACACCTCGAGACATGTGCGTGGGGCGTCCTCAATAGGGAAGGAGAGAGTGCCAGACACCTGGTGGGAGGGCGGGGGCGTGTGGGGCGTGGATGGATGGAGGGCGGCGACAAGTGAGAGGGAGCGCAGAGCAGTGCAAGGCGGGGATGCACCTCAAGACATGCGCGCGGGCCGAATTCGATGGGGAAGGAGAGAGTGCAGGACACCTGGTGGGAAAGATGGGGTTTGTGAAAGGGGGGTGGATTGGGGGAGAGGAAGGGGGTGAGAAAGAGTAGGGGAAAGAGGAGAAATGAAGAATGAGCGTGAGGAGAGAAATCAGAATGGAGTGAAACAGACTGGAGATTCTCTGCATTCTTCAAAGAGGAGAGGCAGAATAACAACATACAATGCACGAGGGCATGTGGGGGCAAGATTGCTGAGGTGGATGGACTATATCATGCCGCATGCCTGATGGGCTATATCACGGCACATGCCTGATGGGCCCTGATGGGCTATATCACGCCGCATGTCTGCTATGCACTACACTCATGGTACACACAGCCCCCCACACCCACACCACCACACACAGAGCCCCACACTCACAACGCACCTCACACACAGCCCCTCCCACCCACCCTCGCTCACCACGTCTCCCAGGTAGTAGACCGGCTGCGGGTTCCTGGGAGTGAAGCGCACGAGCACATGGTCGTCTATGCGGATGTTGTATGTTCGCCCTCTCACCCCTGGCCCTCGCATGGGAGGGGAGGGAGGAGAGGAAGAGGAGGGAGAGGAGGGAGGGGAGGGAGGGGAGGGAAGGGAGAGGAGGGGGGGAGGGAAGGGAGGGAGGGGAGGGAGGGGAGGGAGGGGAGGGAGAGGAGGGAGGGGAGGGAGGGGAAGGAGAGGAGGGAGGGGAGGGAGGGAGAGATGTGGATGGGAGCGGCGGGCACAGGCAATGATGAATGCGGAAGTCGCATGTGCGTTCCCACAACACCCCTGGCCCCAAAAGGCGACTCAGAAGTCACCTCGCTCGAAGTGAGGAGGAGATGGTGGAAGAGGTGGCATAAGCACAGCGTAATAGGCTGAGCCCACACGGATGGAGCAGGGGGGAGTGGGGAAACGAGGGGTGCGGATGTGTAGGGGGAAGAGAGGAAACGAGGGGTGGGGAGGTGGGAGGGGAGGGGGGGGGGGGGGGGGGGGGGGGTGTGAGGGAGTTGAGAGATGTGTGTGTGGAGGTGGGATGGGGTGGGTGGTAGTGCCAGTGGCGAGCGAAGGAGGAGTGCACCCCGCATCATTGTCTTGTGGTTTCAGCTCACGGGCAGCGATTAGGGGGACGGAAGACAATGGGACGGAAGGCTGCGGGTGCCAAGAGCGAGGCTGACGAGACGGCCTATTGCCGCGAGCAAGCGTGGATAACAAGCTCCTTCATCCTCCTCCTGAGGCATGCGAGATAAGAAGAGGGTAGGGTCGAAAGAAGGCTCACCTGGCGAGCGCGGGATGAACGGCCCCTCATCCTCCTCCTGCCGGTTCAGCAGTGACAGCGCCCCTCCCCTCCCCCCCGTCGCCCCCCCTCTCCCCCTCATACCCGTTCCCCGCGCCCCCATACGCGCCAAACAGCAACCCCCCGCCCGCCTGCCCTCCCAGCTCAGACAGCGTGGGGCTGTCCGGCTCCAAATCCAGCAGCGACGACGACCGCGCCCATGCCCCTCCGCCCGCCCCTCCCCCCGCCCCTCCCGCTCCCCCTCCCCCTCCCCCCCGGGCATCAGCAGCAGCGGAGGAGGAGAGGGACTCAGAGCTGCCTCCACCTCCGCCATTCTCTGAGAACTGCTTGCCGGCGGTCATGGACTTGGACCGCCCGATGGGCTCGTTGGACCCCGCCTGCTGGGTCCCCCCAGCAAGACTACCCTCCTCTGTGGGCAGCGGGGCGGACCACAGGCGGGTCAGGTGCGGGCTCTGCAGCCCATCAGACCCAACAGCACCGCCAGCAGCAGTGTCAGAGCTGGTTCCTGCTGCGAGTGCGCCCTCGCCCAGGCTAGCTGAGCCTGCACCAGATACCACCTCCCCCTCTCCGACCTCTGTGACTGTAGCGGTGGCCGCCACAGGGCTGCCTGTGTGCCGCCCTGCCGCCCCTCCCACTGCCCCGGTGCTCTCAGCAGCGGCAGCTGCAGCGGTTGCGTCCTCCTCGTCCTCCTCTGCTGCTGGTGGTTCTGGCGGTGGTGGGGGGGCCTGAAGGAGGGTGGAAGTAGGGGGGCAGTGGGGGGGGAGAGGAAGGACGGAGGTCAGCAGCAGCGGCTGCAGCTGCTTGCATGTCACGTCTGCTGGTACTGGCTATGGGGTTCGCATGGCAGACATGCGTATGCGAAGAGGCTAGATTTTTTTTAGAATTCTAGAAAAAAAGGCTATAAGGGTTTGCATGGCAGGCGTGCATGATGCACATGCAAAGAGGCCACAATGGGGATGTGCGGGGAAGGAGAAAGAGAGGAAGGTGGCCTTGAGGTGGGGAGGAAGGCTAAACGGGGAAATATGGGCAAAGGGAGGAGACAAGAGAGGTGTGGTGTGGGGAAGAAGGGTCGTGTCGTGTCGGGTCGACTTGACCCGTTGTCCACGTCTGAGGGGGAAAATGCAAGGCAGGGGAACTGTTGCATTGCTGCCTTGATGTAGTAGGCTCCCTCCAGGTCGCAGAGCCCCCTGACGCCCCCTCAGTTTGACCCTCACAGCCCTCAGACCCCGCCGCCCAGCCTACCATGCGCGCCGCCCAGCTTACTATGGGTGCCGCCCAGCCTACCATGAGTGCCGCCCAGCCTACCATGAGTGCCGCCCAGCCTACCATGAGTGCCGCCCAGCCTACCATGAGTGCCGCCCAGCCTACCATGAGTGCCGCCCAGCCTACCATGAGTGCCGCCCAGCCTACCATGAGTGCCGCCCAGCCTACCATGAGTGCCGCCCGGGACTTCCTCTCCCTCCACTGAATATCCACCTCTACTGGCGCTGTCGGCACTATGCCTGTGCGGATTGTGAGTGTGCGGGAGAGAGTGAGGGCGGGAGTGAAGAAGGGAGTGAGGGAGGGAGTGAGGGAGGGAGTGAGGGAGGGAGTGAGGGTGGGAGTGAAGGAGGGAGTGACGGAGGGAGTGACGGAGGGAATGAGGGAGCAGAGTGAGGGAGTGAGTGAGGGAGGGAGTGAGGGAGGGAGTGAAGGAGTAAAGAGGGGGAGAAGGAGTGAGGGAAGGAGTGGTAAGCGATGGAAGGAGGGGTTGGTGGAGTGAGGGCCAGCTCAACTGGTGTTGTGGGCACTATGCCTGTTGGCAAAATGAGAGGGAGGGAGGGAGTGAGGGAGGGAGGGAGTTGTGGGAGAGTGGCCAGGTGGGGGATTGAGTGAGGCAGTGAGGGCGGGAGGGATTGAAAAACGAGAGTTGGCTGGTCGCAAGAGAGGAAAACAAGATGTCAGTCGTATCGTACCTCCCACGCCGTAGTGATCGTCTATATCAAGCTCCTCCACTGTGAGCCCACTCAGGTGTAATTTCAATCAACTCAAGCTACTCCAGCTACACCTGGGCTTGGCACATGTGAGTCGTATCGTACCTCCCACGCTGTAGTGATCATCTGAGTCCAGCTCCTCCACTGTGAGTGAGCCCACTAGGGTGCATTTTCAATCAACTCAAACTACTGAAGCTACAAGTGGGAAGATGCGATGGGAACCGTACCTCCCACGCCGTAGTGATCGTCTGAGTCCAGTTCCTCCACTGTGAGCCCACTCAGGTTGGGCAGCGTCCAGATGCGCAGCGGCACTCGCACCTCCTGGGATGGGGGCAGATGGGAGGGGTGGGGATGGAATGAAAGGCATGGAAGGGAGATTGGTGAGGAATGAAGCATTGCAGTGCGTTGAAAGCCCACTGAGGATGACGAAGGAGGAGTGGAAGCATGGGTGACGAGGGCGATGATTGTCGCAGGGAGGACGAGGGAGAGGGGTGGGAGCATGCGGCAGGGAGGCGGGGAAAATGGGGGGTATCGCTCACACACACAGCATTGCTCACACACACAGCATTGCTCACACACACAGCATTGCTCACACACACAGCATTGCTCACACACACAGCATTGCTCACACACACAGCATTGCTCACCACAACAGACGTGGCACCACCCTGTCCGCCCTTCCCCCCTTTCCCCTTCCCCAAACCAGCCGTTGCTCCCCCTCTCCCCTCCTCCGCTCCCCTTCTCCCCTTCAACGGAGTGGTATTCGCGCTGCCCCCTTGCCCCCTGCTCACCTCACCCTTCCCCGCCCCTCCTCCCCCCACTTCCCCCCCTAGCTGCCCCCCAGAGTGGGACCTCCGGGGAACGCCAGGAGAGGGGGAAGGGGACGCGGAGTGAGAGGAGAGGAGGGCGGAGGAGGAGGAGGAATGGGCGGAGGTGAGGGGGGAGGGGGAGGGGGAGGCGGAGGGGGGAGGGGGAGGGGAGGGGGCGCCACTTGACGATCACAGTGAGCTGGTAGTGAAAACGCACGGCTGTGCCCCGGTAGGAAGGGGGCAGCACCCGCGGCAGCTGCGCTCTTATGGCGTCTGGGAGAGAGAGGGGTGAGAGAACGGAGGGGGGGGATGGGCGGGGCAGAAGAGGGCGAGGGCGAGGCGAGGCAAAGGCAAGGAGGAGGTGGAAATAGGTAGCTTTGGGGAAGAGAATTCGGTGCAGTGCGGTTGGTTGTAAGGGACTGACTAGAAGGGAGAGTGGGAGGCAGACATAAGGGGACGACACAAGGGAGCAGAGCAAACCGGAGGCAAAGGGGGAAGGGAAGGGGGGGCGTACAGGTCTTGCTGGTGCCGGGTTGGATGGCCACGTTGGTGACAAGTGATGTGAGCTGTGACTCCAGAATCACCCTCTCGCCTGCTGGGCGTGTTTCGGTAGGAGGCATGCAGGCAGGGCAAGGCGTGGGGCAAGGGCAGTGCATGGCATGGGGCAAGGCATTGGGAAAGAGGAGGCGATTGGAGATGGCATGGTTGGAAACGGATACACTGCCCGGAGGCGTGACATGCTGCATCTCTAGAATCGCCCTCTCGCCTGCCGGGCGTGTTTTGGTGAGGAGTGGGAGAGGCGATCCAAAGTGCGGTACACAGTACCCCTAATCACAAGCAACGACGACACCCTCACAGTACCCCACAGTCCTCTTGGACTGTCGAGCCCACTCCTGCTTCCTCAAACGACACCCTCGCTCGCTACCCACAGTCCATAGTAGCTTGCAATCAGCACCACAGCTTGCCGCACTCCACTTCCTGCCACAATTCACACCCCTCCCTTTGCCTTGCATGCGCCACCTCACATTCCTCTTCGACTGTCGAGCCCGCCCTCACTTCCTCACACCCTAACTTCCTCACACCCTCATTTCCTCACACCCTCACTTCCTCACACCCTCACTTCCTCACACCTTCACTTCCTCACACCTTCACTTCCTCACACCCTCACTTCCTCACACCTTCACTTACTCACACCTTCACTTCCTCACACCCTCACTTCCTCACACCCTCACTTCCTCACACCCTCACTTCCTCACACCCTCACTTCCTCATTCCCTCATACCCTCTCTCCCTCGCTCCCTCACTCCTCACTCCCTCACATACCCTCTCTCCCTCACCGCCTCACACCCACTCCACCGCTCCTCCCTGCTCACTCTTCTCTGCCTTCTGGATGCCACGCGCTTCCCCTGCCTGCCCGTCGCTCATTGCTCCTGGGCCTTTGCTCCACGCCCCCCACCCTCTGTCTCCTCCCACCCACCCTCTGTCTCCTCCCACCCACCCTCTGTCTCCTCCCACCCACCGTCCCTCCCACCCACCTGCTCCCACACCCACGTCTACTCTCCCACACCCACCTCTCTTTTCCCCCACCCACCTTTGCTCTGCGCGCCGCTGCTGGATTTCGGCAGGACGATCCACGACGGGTCGAGCCGCTCCACGCCTTTAAGATCCACCACCAGATTCTCTATAAGCACACCCCCTACAGTGCCGAACTCGCCCTCGCTCGCCCGCCCCCCACCCGCGCCGCTAAACGACGCGTTTTTCGTCAGCGACGGCGCGGATCCCACTCTGCCGCCCATCGCGCTGCTGCTGCTGCTGCTCATGCCGTCGCGCCTCGGCGCACGCTGCGGGATCGCCCAGGACGGCAATGCGATGCCGGCGGAGGCGGCGGCGGCGGAGAGCGGCGACGGCGACGGAGCGAAATTGTCGATGTCGATCGTCGCGATGACGGTTTCGCCCGGGCGATAGGCGGCCCGGGCGAATGCCACGTGGACTACTGGGGGAGGCTGCGACGGTGGCTGCTGCTGCGCTGTCATGATGGCGAGTCTGCTCTGAGGTGCGATATACTTGGTGGGATTCCTAAGAAAATGAGGGATTCCTATGGATGGGGATGTGTTCGAATGATCGAAGTTAACCTCGATATGTTACGCCTGGGGATATGTTACTTAGTAGAAGTTGCCCCTAGTGCCTGAAGCTACCTGAATGGAAAATCGGGCGAAGATTATGAGGGCGCGTTACCTCTCCATTTATACAGTAAACTGGTCGTCAATACCGTATTGTGTCAGCTCTGGCTCCCACGATCGATGTGTCCCCTGCCACAGATCGATCGTGTAATTGTCGCTATCGGGGAATTTCGCCCCATAAATCTCCAGACGTGTCACCTGTGCCTCGGTTTTTCCAGGTGACCGCAGATTTGCGTTTGGGCACTCGTGTGTGCCGAACCTGTTAGGTTCGGGTTGACCCCCGAAACACCCCAAATCTGCCAAGTTTTCTAGAGGTGACACGTCCTAATAATTTGTAACAGTGCACTACTCGCTTCGCTCACCATTTCACTCGTAACAAATGCTTTGGCGAGATTCTTTGTCGCTCGCGAGGCTCAACCCTCCCACTGTGAACCCACAGGTCGCCCACGGATGCCACAACAATACCGTTTGATGACGCACCTCTGTTCCGAGTATCGCGCCCTGATGCTGGGCAACGGAAAGTAAGCTTGGGAGTATCATCGCCAGAAGTCCCTGTCGTGCAGTCATGGTTGTTCACTCAACTCCAGTTAGTGCTTCCCATAGTAACGTTAGAGTCAAGTGTAGCCCTCATCATATTCAATACTTGCCAACGAAGTCGCAGATTAAGAACGTCGAGTCGCTAATACCGTATCCAGTGGCGCTCGCTTGGGCGATAGTCTCGACGCTCCTCCTCCTCTGCTCGATCCCGATAATAGCCGTTCAGCTTTCCAAACGATGCGCGCCGTGCGACTGCGACTTAGCGCTAAGATTTGCAGACGGAAGCAGAAGCGGAGGCCGCATCGCAGCTCAGTCGTGCTCTGATTGGACATCAACCAGCAGAGCCACTCCGGTAGTGCAGAATGGCGGAGATAGCAGCTCGTCGCCGCAAGTCAGTCCCGAGGATGCGTGGGCGTTTACGAAGGTACTACTAAGTGAACCCCAGGTCGGACAATGATCCTGGCAGATATGCTTGGTGTCGAACGCCATGCTCCCCGCATTCGACCCCGCGTTCGTCCCCGCGTTCCCACTCCGTGTCGACGCACGCCCACCCCAAAGTGTAACTCTCAAATGGACCCTCTCTCTTCCTATGATGATATCATGTTGTCATAGGGTCCTGCACAAAGATATTCCATCTGGACATAGTAGCGTTTGAGTCGACTCAAAAGTCAACGCGATATCATGTAATCATAGGGTCCTGCACAAGCATATCCCATCTCGACATAGTAGCCACAATGGAATTCAAACGTGCATGGCATGCAATCACTCCACGTCGCTCAACTGAGCATCTTCGGAGTTATGCTTCCTCCTCCTTCCTCCCCCCCGCGCCTTGCCGACACCCACAATGCGCGCAGTGGACACCGCGCGTTTCCCCGTGTCTTGTAGCGGGGCTGCCTATAGAGGAGCTAGACACGCACTTGAACTTCCGCCGTGGGTGGACCTTGGGATTCGTGGAGGACGTGGAGGACAAGACGCAGATCTTACCGTTTCTAAGAGCCGCCATGGATCCCACCTTGCACAGGAGGTGGGTATTGTGTTCTACATTCAGTTCCCGACAGACCTAAGAAAATCTATGAGTTCAACGATTTAGCGACCTTCATTCTTCCACATATTCGCTCCTCCTTTTTGCATCTCCGCATTCTCAGGATGCACGTTTTACGAACTGCTGTAATATACAAGAACCTAAACATTTAGACAGAACGGTTTCTAGTAACTTACTTACTTCTGCAATCTGGTTTCGAAGGACTTGTGCATCCTGCTTACTCTCGCAAACTAGTTGTGCAGATCATTATCGAAACCCGACACCCGAAACCTTGGGTTTTTCCCATGCACCCGTTGTTTTCACCAAGATGCGCGCGTAGCGTCTTTCCCTCTTGGCACAACACACCCTCTCTCCTCCCCTCTCGTTCCTAACAAATTCCGCGATTTCGCAGGAAGCGGAGGGTGCTTGTAGACCTCGGAGCCAATAAGTTTGAGACAAGTGTCGCCTGGTTCCTTCGAATGTACCCCCTCGATTTCACCGAGATTCATGCGGTGGAAGTGGAAACCGACCTGTTCCAGAAGCCATCTACACCGCCGCTTGAGGTGCGTAAATTAATGCACTAGTATGCACATATTGGAAAAGAAAGGCGTGCCAGCAGTTGTGGGGGCTGGGAAGGAGAGGGTGCAGCGACAGACTAAGGGATTTACTAAGCGGAAATTCATGCCGCCAGCATATTTCTACTAGCATGTTCACGCCAGCGCTATTTCTAGCATATGCACATACGGTTAGGCATTCGCTCTTGGCATGGATGGGGCATTCGCTCTTGGCATGGATGGGGCATTCGCTCTTGGCATGGATGGGGCATTCGCTATTGGCATGGATGGGGCATTCGCTCTTGGCATGGATGGGGCATTCGCTCTTGGCATGGATGGGGCATTCGCTCTTGGCATGGATGGGGCATTCGCTCTTGGCATGGATGGGGCATTCGCTCTTGGCATGGATGGGGCATTCGCTCTTGGCATGGATGGGGCATTCGCTCTTGGCATGGATGGGGCATTCGCTCTTGGCATGGATGGGGCATTCGCTCTTGGCATGGATGGGGCATTCGCTCTTGGCATGGATGGGGCATTCGCTCTTGGCATGGATGGGGCATTCGCTCTTGGCATGGATGGAGCATTCGCTCTTGGCATGGATGAGGCACTCGCTCTTGGCATGGATAAGGGAATACGCTCCTAACACTCTGCGTGTTCGTCCTCCCTCCCCATTCTCCCCTAATTCTCCCCACCTGCCATCATAAATTAAATTTCTTTCATCTTTATTATTTCAATAGAATAGAAGATTCCATTAGTTCAAGCCACACATACCCTTCCCAGCCACTCGTTACCATGTCTGTACCGCACTTAACCATTTCAGGTACCGGCATATGAGATCAACTCGCACTCTCGCCTGCGTCCGTTCCACGGGGGCCCTGCAGGCTTCCCTGCGTGGCTGATGCAACGAGTTCACCCCTACAACTTCTTCATCTCTTCCCAGGACAATCACGAAGAGGTAACCGCCACAAAAACTTTATGATTGTTACACCTATAAGAAAAAAAAAGGTAACAACCTGAATTGATAATGTGACCGTAGAAGGCACCCTTGCTGAGTCCTGAAAGAGCCTTTCTCTGGTATGCCAGAGGTGTGGCTTGCTATGTGACTTGCTATAGCCTTTCTTATTTGCGATAGGTGTGACAACCAAGTCGAAGAGGTAACAGCGACGAGAACTTCACCCTCAGTGACCCCTGGAACAGCCTTCCCCCCTCCCCCTTATCTTTCTTTTTTTCTCCCCTCCATTTCCCCCCTCACCCTTTCCTTACTCCCTTACCGGCCCTCTATCGTTCCTCACCCCTTTTCCCTTCCTTTCCTCTCCATGCTGCAGGGAACGTGACCAGGCGGGCACTGCAGCCAAGGGAGGAGCACATGGAGAGGCTTGTGAGGCGTCTCAAGACCCAAAACCTTCTCCTTCCCTCAGCCAAGGAAGGAGCACATGGGCTCCACTAGTGGTGACTAGAGCTAGCCTTTCTGTCCTCCCTCTCTGCCTCCTCCCTCTCTGCCTCCTCCCTCTCTCCCTCCTCCTTCTCTCCCCCCTCCCTCTCTCCCTCCTCCTTCTCTCCCTCCCCCCTCTCTCCCTCCTCCCTCTCCGCATTCCTTCTCTGCCTCCTCCCTCACTTCCTCCTCCTTCTCTCCCTTCCCTCTCTCCTTTGTCCCTCTCTCCCTCCTCCCTCTCTCCTTTGTCCCTCTCTCCCTCCTCCCTCTCTCCCTCCTCCCTCTCTCCCTCCTCCCTCCTCCCTCTCTCCCTCCTCCCTCTCTCCCTCCTCCCTCTCTCGTTTGTCCCTCTCTCCCTCCTCCCTCTCTCCTTTCTCCCTCTCTCCCTCCTCCCTCTCTCCTTTCTCCCTCTCTCCCTCCTCCATCTCTCCTTCCTCCCAGAGCGCACTGAGCGTGACTAACAGAGACCAACAGAGGGAGCGGCGGAGGGGGCCCAGTCATACCAACCATAGCTCTCCTTTTTATTTCCTCCCGGTTTTTTTTTTGTTCCCTTTTTCTGCCCGCTTCCCCTTTCCCATGTTCCTCCTCCTCCCGCCTCCCCCATCCTTCCCCTCTCCCTCCCTCAGAACGTAACCCGGTGGCTGTTGGACGAGCTGCAGCTGACAGAGGAAGACTCTGTCATTGTCAAGAGGGACATAGAGGGGGCGGAGTGGGGCTGAATGCGGTGAATACGGAGATTCGGGCTGTCCCCTTTCTTATCTTACTCCTCCTTCCCCCCTCCTCACCCCCTGCACAACTGGCCCCCTGGAGTGGGAAGTGCTGCATGAGTGGCCCCCGGCAATATCCCTGCTCTCCTCATCCTCTCACAACTCAGTGGTGGGTGCATACAGATATTGTGGCTTTCTCCTTACCCATCCTACTCCTCCTTCCCCCTCACCCCCTCTTGCCCCCGAACCCCTCCTCAGAACACAGTGAGCGTGACACGGTCGCTGTTGGACGAGCTGCAGTTGACAGAGAGGGGGCGGAGTGGGCCGTGCTGCACGAGTCCCCACCCTCAGTACTCCCCTTTCCTCCCCTCTCTCCTTCCATCCAATCCCCTCCCCCCTTCTCCCCTCCCAGAACACAGTGAACATGACGCGGTGGCTGCTGGACGAGCTGCAATTGACAGAGGAGGACTCGGTGGTGGTGAAGATGGACATAGAGGGGGCGGAGTGGGCTGCATGAGTGTCACCCCTCAATACCCCTCCTCCCCCCATCACCCCCTCTTCCCCCCTCCTCAGAACACAGTGAACGTGACGCGATGGCTGTTGGACGAGCTGCAGCTGACAGAGGAGGACTCGGTGGTGGTGAAGATGGACATAGAGGGGGCGGAGTGGGCTGCATGAGTGTCACCCCTCAATACCCCTCCTCCCCCCATCACCCCCCCTTCCCCCCTCCTCAGAACACAGTGAACGTGACGCGATGGCTGTTGGACGAGCTGCAGCTGACAGAGGAGGACTCGGTGGTGGTGAAGATGGACATAGATGGGGCGGAGTGGGCTGCATGAGTGTCACCCCTCAATACCCCTCCTCCCCCCATCACCCCCCCTTCCCCCCTCCGCAGAACACAGTGAACGTGACGCGATGGCTGATGGACGAGCTGCAGCTGACAGAGGAGGACTCGGTGGTGGTGAAGATGGACATAGAGGGGGCGGAGTGGGCTGTGCTGCACGAGTGGCTGGCCATCCCTCACATGCCCGCCATCGTGGACGAGCTCTTTGTGGAGGTGCACTACCACCACCCCTCCATGGAGGGCCTCACGTGGACGGATAGGTTCAACCACACGCTGGACGACACAACACAGCTGCTCACTGACCTGCGGAGAGCCGGGTTCTATGTTCACCCATGGCCGTAGATTGGCGGTTTTTACGTTTTGAGGCGCCTAAAAAACGACCTCAATGCACGCGGATCAGGGGTTTTTTTATCAGAGTAAATTACTCTGTTTCTCTGAAAATCAGAGTGGTTTTTAGGGGGTCACTCTGACGAGTCTGGGTAATTTTTTTGGAAGATAAGTTTTCTCTGATTTGTCAGGGTTCTGATTTTAGCTACTCTGAGAGACCAGTGTATATTTGTGGCGAATGTAATTTTCTCTGTACAGGGAATAGGCATTTTGACCGAGCCCCCCTCCCCCCCCAATTGGTGGAAGATGGTAAGGGCGACCACATATATTTCAAGTCCGTCTGCAAGCGTACCTGTTAGCGCGTAGCACAACGATTATAATTTTGGTACGAGTGCAGAAGGCCTGGGTTCATGTTACGGGTGCAATGAATCGAAGTAGCGAGGATTGCACTTAGGGTGTCATTCAGGCCCTCAGATTCGTTTTTAGCCTGTCTGATTCGTTAGACTCTCCCAAGGTTGTAGTCTGAATCTGACAGAGTTGCAAAAAAAAAAGTCTGATAGTTCAGAGTTCCCTAAAACAAAAGTCTGAAAGATTCAGAATCACCCGCCTATCAAGTCTGATTGTCTTTCTAGCTATCTTGCTGAACTGTTTGTCTTGTTTGAACTGTTGGGAATAATAAGTCTTAAGCGCCTCTGTCGTGTCGAAACTCAGGACACTAGCGAAGCAGTCCGAATCGAAGCATCGCGAGTCAACCCTCGGAGGTTAGGGTAACCGCCTGGAGGTTACGCGAAGGTCAAAGGTCAGCGACCTTTGACTTGACAAATACAGCGCGACAGCAAGGACACATAACTGACTCGACATTGAGCAGTTGCCCGAGTCGCACTATATCGAATCGCAACAGTAAAACGGTTTAAACTTATCTATTCGTATTCCTTGTACTCTTATATAAACCTTTGTATTTGCTTGTTTAATCAACTTACTTTGCCCTCACATACTAGCGCAAGGTTGGTTCAAGGACTTTCATTCAAACGCTTCCGCTATTACAATCCTACTCAGACTTTAAGCTCTACAAAGATCCTAGGGCACCTCAGCCCAACATGGTATGAGAGCAGTTAGAGTTTAAAGTCATCTTCCTTTAAACACTCAAATACAAGAAAACATGTCTGCAAGGAAGGAGAGGAGCTCCTCCAACGGTTCTCCAGGCACTACCCCTACTCCACCTCCTGTCTCTGGTCTACAGACAGAAGAAGGAACTACCACGAGACCAGCAGCTGGGTCCACGGAATCTCCCGTAGGCTTCGATCCAAGCATGATGGAGAAATTCTTCTCCTTCATGTCCTTCTACGAGCAACACCAGCAAGGAGTGCCTGCGCAGTCAAACAACAGCAACAACAACAACGTGACTCCTATGAGCCTCGATGGCTCATCCTACGCACGTGGGATTCAACAACAACAACAGCAGCCTACCTTTGCGCTGTACGAGCCCCAACGTGGCTCCGTCAGCTTCATGCCGCAACCGCAACCTGCACCGGGACAAGAAAGGGCATTGGATGCGTTACAAGTTCAATCGCAATTCGCGCATGTCCTAAAACTGCAAACGACAAAGCCTTTCGACGGCAAAGACTTCTTCACCTGGTCGTTCGAGTTCGAACTGATGATGGAAGGAGCACAGATACTCGGCTTCTTCGACGGGTCCCTGCCATATCCAACAAACGGGACGCAATATGAGAAGCAGCAGTACACCTATCAATCAATGATGGCGTACACGATACTGCTAAGAAACATCACCCCAACCCAGCAGCAGAACATCAGGACTTACCGAGGCTACGGCAACTCCGCGGAGCTCGCGTACAACCACCTGAAGAACCTGTATCAAGCAACAGACAGCGTAAATCAAAGCAGGTTAATGGCGCAACTGACAACGATTGAAATGAAACCAGGCGAGAAAGGCATGGCTTATATCAGCCGCTGTCGCGAACTGCGCGACAAGCTTCTTCGATGCGGAGGGTCGATTGCAGAAGACGCCTTTGTCACGGTGGTCATCGGCGGTCTCGGACCCCACTGGCGCTCCACTCGCGCCATATTGCGAGCACACGGGAGGATCTCCGAAGCGGCACTCTGCGCCGAAATTCATGCTGAGCAGCAGGACATGGACCTGCAAGAAGAAAGACACAAGAAGAAAGCATTAGCACCGGAGTTTGCGTTTCACACTCAGCGACGATACAACGGCAACAACAATCGACAACAGCAAGTAAAGACGGTACCTCCATTCTGCCACATCTGCAAGACTTCGGGCCATCCTCGCACGCATTGCCCGTCTTGTCAGACAACATCACAGCGACAACTCCGGCCTTCAAGCTCCCAAGTTGCTTCAACGCAAGCAAATCCGACGACCACAATCCAAGCTTCAACGACTTCAATTGGGCAACCTGCACAAGGAACAAGAAGCATCGTCAATTGCATGGTGAAGATAACCGATTCTTGCACAACCGAGTCACCACCCCACTACTCACCAGAAGAAGAGCTCGACAACAGGACGCCTCGCCGCGAGTCACTCCAGCCGAATCCAACGTACGCCGCCATCGCTCAAAGCGAACCGTCCGGGCAAGACACCTGGTTCTTGGATAGTTGCTGCGGACAACACATGTGCTCCTTAGGACGCTTCGTACAACGCGAACGTCGACTCCAGCGAGAAGTAGTCATCACGGTCGCCAACAACCAGAACCTGCGCACACGACGACAAGGAGTAGTTCAGCTTCAATCAAGAGAGACAAACGTCATACTGCACATGTCAAAGGTACTCATCGCAGAAGGACTCGGCTATAACCTACTGAGTGTTAGCCAGCTGATGGCGAAAGGGATCCACTTGGAAGCCGACAGTACCACCCAGGAGTTTAAGTTATACCACGGGAAGGGCGGCCTTTACATCGGAAAGGCGGTGTTGAAGAACAACGTCTTCGTCCTTGATTTCGTCCCCGACCTGGGCACTGCAGACAGCGTCGCCATCGTCAACTTCACCGACTGGACACACCCTCCGGACCTCGATACCGACTTCAGCCCGGGAGGCTTCTGTGAAGAAAGCAACGTGAATGAATTGACTACGAACGAGGTGAGTACAAATAGGAAACCCTAATTGGGTTGTACCCCCTATGGGATACCCCACTATAGCCTACACAAACAAGTAAGCTATAATGTTCTGACACACCCCCATAGGCAAAGTGGGGGAGAACAAGGGGTCACAAGACCAGTCAAGCAAAGCAAAGCAAAGCTCAGGGTGGATCACAAAGTCACCACACATTCCGAGCACAAGGTCAAGGGCCACAAGGCCAGTTCGCATGCAAGATCATCTATAGAGATATACAAGAGTCAAGCAAGCAAGAGCAAGAGTATATATAGGTCAAGGTACAAGCAAGGTCAAGAAGTGAGCAAGTGAGACAAGACAGGCACAAGACCCAGCTGCGTGCAGCAACGCTGATGATCACAAGGCGCAAGTGCCTTGGTGAAGACATCAGCAGTGTTGGCCTGAGAGGCCACGTACGCAAGTCGCAACTGTCCACGCTGCTGCAGCTCACGAGCAAGAAAGTAGCGGAGAGCAATGTGCTTTGTCCTGTGCTCCAATCGCTGCTCTCGACACAAGGCCAGCATGGCCTTGTTGTCTACGTACAGGACTGGAGGAGAACGAGGCGGCTCTCCAAGGTCGGTCAGCAGGTAGGTGAGCCAGCGAAGCTCCTGAGCAGCCATAGCCCCGGTGTAGATCTCAGCCTCACAACTGGAGCCGAGAACAGAAGACGAGCGAGTAGCCCGCCACGAGACAGAGCCGGAACCAAGGCTGAAGGTGTAACCCTGTGACGATCGCTGTGTGGCCTGGTCGTCAGCCCAAGAAGCGTCCGCGTGCCCAGTGAGGACCACTGGACTGCGCCCTCCAAGCACTAGCCCCATGCCCGACGTGCTGCACAAGTAGCGCAACACCCTCTTCGCTGCAGCCATGTGCTCTGGTCGGTGTCTCCCAGGAGCAAAATAGCGTGCGAGAATGCTGAGAGGGTATGCGAGGTCAGGTCGTGTGCAGGTCATCAGGTACATGAGGCAGCCAACAAGCTCTGCATACGGGCCACTCGACTCTACGGACTCATCCGAAGGCAGAGCTGAGAGCGAGTGGCGAGTAGGCAGAGGAGTGGCCTGAGGCGAGGAGTACGTGAAGCCGAAGCGCTGAAGGACCTGCTGCACCATGTGTGACTGAGTCAGGGTAATGGTGCGGCGTGCTCTGTCCCGGGTGATCTGCAAGCCAAGGTAGCTGCGCAGTTCACCCAGGTCAGTGCACGTGTGTCTCTTCTGCAGCTCGGACTTCACGTAGGTGAGTCCAGCAGTGTCAGCTGTGGCAAAGACCAAGTCGTCGACGTACACGAGGATGTAGAACGGCGGCAGAGAGGTGTCAGTGCGCAGAAACAGCGACGGGTCGGCAGTAGAAGGAGCAAACCCAAGTGCCGCCAGCGTAGTCCTCAATGTGTCGTGCCACTCACGTGGCGCCTGGCGGAGACCGTAGACTGGACGCCGGAGACTCCACTGGGTACCAGGAGGGAAAGACCCAGTGAAGCCAGGTGGGCGACGCAGCCAGATCTCCTCGTGCAGGCTGCCCTGCAAGAAAGCAGTGCTAAAGTCGAGAGAGTGCAGCTCGTAGTCACGGTGAGCAGCAACGTGCAGCAGTACCCGAAGAGTGGTCATCTTCGGGGTGGGAGAGAAGGTCTGAAAGTAGTCAACCCCCTGCCGCTGACTGAAGCCACGAGCCACGTAACGCGCCTTGAAGACAGGCGGAGAACCTGGCGGCCGCTTCACCCTGAAAATCCACATGCCACTGACGATGTTCGCCCCAGGAGGGGGAACAGCGTCGACGTAGGTGCCTGTGGACTTCCAGGAAGCCATCTCTGCATCCATAGCTGCCTGCCACTGAGAGGAGTAGGGACCCTCTATCGCCTCCGCGTAAGAGCGCGGAGTCGGGATGTCTAGTGCATCCGGGTCTC